AAATAAATAAATAGCAAAAGAAAACAAAAAATAGTGTATCCTAAAATGAAATACGGGCACATGGGTGTCTCAGTCAGTTGAGTGGCCAACTCCTGGTATCATCCCAGGGAGTGATACATCCACCTCCATGCTGAGCATGGAGACTGCTTGGAATTCCCCCCACCTTCCCTCTTCCTACCCTCTCTCTTTCTCTTGCACTCTAAATAAAAAAAACAAGTAACTTTAAAAAATGAAATATACTAACTAGGAATGAATCTAACAAAATATGTAAAGCCTATATGGCGAAAAAATAAAACATTCCTGAAATACATGAAAGTAGAAATAAATGAAAGTAAATTTACATCATGTTCCTGGGTAGAAAAACTCAATATTATAAAAAGGTCAATTCTTCTTAAAGTAACTTATAAATTTAATTGGATCCTGACATACATACCATCAGCCAGTTTTTGAACTAACAATGTTACTGCAAAAATCTTATAGAATATTGAACAAAAAACAATACACACAAAAACTCTTTTAAAAAACCAAAATGAGTATGGTTATCCTTATGAGATGTTTATTTATGAACAGACTATTAGATCAGTGAAGTTAAAAATTCAGAAGTATGCCAAAGTGCATAAGAAAAGTTAATACCCAGCAAAAACTACAGTAGGTATAACATTATTAATGCTTGGCATTTGGTAAATGGGGATTCCTACCAAAATGACAATAAGTGTTCTTATTCTTCACATCCTACAGCGGGATAAAGGTCAAACAAAAGAGAAGTCTATATGGTAAAAAATAATTAAAAATGATTAAATACCTTCCTAAGACCTGCTTCTCAAGCACCTGACTGTAGCCAACCTCTGGCTCATCATCATTAAAGACGTAGCTCAGCAACACTTCTGGCTTGAAAAATATCTTCGTTGAGTTTTGATGCAACTTGTTTTGTATGTTCAGAGTGGCCACTGGTGTATCCATTGGCACCACCTGCTTCTTGAGTGTCTTTCAGGACATCACGATGGCCTCAGGAACTCCAAGATGATAGAACTTAAAATAAAAGCTCTGAGTGCCTAACAATCAGCGGCTGGATCCTAACTGTGCTGGCAAATACCACTTTCTTCTTGTGACTGACAATGAACAGTGGAAACATATAGAAATATGACTGGGGGTGCTGAATAAGAAGATCACACAATCAGCACTTGCCCTACTTGTAACGTTCTCTACTGTCAGACATTTGGGATTCACGATCGGGGCCAGCAACTCCATAGTTTTCAAGCTCTTAAGATACAAGCAGTGGGTCCAGCACATTCACAGGACAACATCTCCAGAATTTCCCCAGAAGTGAGGGCTACCCAAGGCATCCTTGTCTTGATAAGTACCTTTGTATTGTTTTATGCTCTCTCTTCAACCTTTTTATTTGGCTCTCTCTGAAAACCCCAGTTGGTGGGTCTTGAACCCCTCTGATCTAATCACTCCATGTTTGTTTTTTGTTTTGTTTTAACAATCTGCCCTTCTGTTCTCTGGAGTCCTGACCTCATTGTGTCCCGGGTCATCTCTCCATGCTGCAGAAAGAATACACAGCCCTCTAAAATGACAAGATACCTATAAATTACTGTAAACTGTTAAACAATGTGTAGTCATTTGTTCATTCACTCCTTGCAGAGATTTAAGCACTGGAGGGGGCAGTCACATAACAGAGAGGGTGTGAAAAGCAAATGCAGCCAGCACCACCTTCAGAATTTCCACAGGAAACAGAAGAAGAGCTATTAACTTGCATATTTCATATTAAAAATTATTAAGAGTGTATATGATGCTACTGAAGATGTGAAAAACTAGCTTTACTATTTGCTTGTATTATTCACGTAAAGAACAGACATCCTTACCACATGTCTCTGGAAATATTTCAAAACCAGTATTTCATCAGTACTAGGAAAAGTTAAGTATCTCTGAAAGAGTACACATTTTAGAAGCTACGTTAACTGCACTTCACACGAAGCATTCAGAAACAGAAAACGAAGCGATCAGTTAAAATAATCTAATTTTCTAGGCACCTGGCCGACTCAGTTGGTTAATTAAGCCTCAGACTCTTGGTTTTGGTTCAGGTCATGATCTCAGGATTTGTGAGATCCAGCCCAGAGTGGGACTAATGGGGGGTGGGCAGAGGGCTCTGCTCAGAGCCTGCTTGGGTTTCTAGATCTAGCTCTCTGCCCCTCCCTTGCTTGCACTTGCCCCTGTACTCTCCCACAAAATAAATACATATTTAAAAATCTAATTTTCAAGTAAAAACTAGTCTTCCAAAAGAAGTGAAAAAAATTTTAAACTAAAATTGCAATGATATTTAGTAATTAAAGGTTAAGCAAAATACAGGTGCCATCTGGTAGGTCTCAAAGGCGTTTGGATTTATAATTCATCTCGAAGGTGTGGATTCCAATATCAAATAAAGAGAGAAAAATTGATAACCCATACAGGCAGAAATGTTTGCTTCTTTAAAGCAATGTGCCAACCCTCACCCCCCACAGCCCAGAGCCTGGCCTGGAACCCCCAGGAGAGCAGAAGGGCCAATGGGGAGAAGAAGTGACAGTTCAGTGAAAATTACAACCAGTACCAAACTGCACATTCCCCACAGAAGAGTTTTGCATGTCGCATTCTAGCGTCCATCACTGATACTGAGCACCCGGCTTTAACTTCATTAAACAAGGAGCTGTCACTGTCCGGGTCTCAGTCGCCCCACGAGGACCCCCGGCCCCAGGTAGCATCGCTGCTCCGCCTCTCCCGCTGGAGGCCAATCTCCACCGCTCGCTAAAAATGTTTCCATGGGCACCGTGATCAACTTGTCAAATACCACCACTCCCAACAGAAGCAGCCCACCCTTCCCTAACCTTGTGCCCAGCCTGGCTCCAAACGACACCAGCGGGACTGGAAGGAATCCAAAAGCAGAACCCGAAACC